TGTTGCGCTGTAATAATTATTGTTAATGATTATAATCAATAATCGAGGATTTTATTTAAATATTTATTAAAGTAGTTGACTTTTGACAATATTGTGCTTACAACACAGAGACTTACCACATCAACAAATAAGTTAAGATAGCCATCAACATTGAAAAAGTGACCGAATGGCGTTAACCATTTAAAAAAAAACACACTTTTGTCTGTTTTTATTAAACAAAGGATTCTTTTTTAACCTAAAAACGTTCCTTAGTGTTCACATTAAAGGTTGTCACCGATTTTCCGAACGAACCCAGTTGAAAACGACCCCATGTTTTCTTTTCATTAGCCGGCGCCTCGAGTTGAACCCAAGCACAGCCCAATACCAATTCCAGAACCCCGTTTCAAACTCAATCTAAGGCCAGGACCGAGCAGAAAGTTCACCTCCAGCCTCCTCCGACCGCAATCAAATCGAGGTGGCAGGCGTTGCCACCGGCAGCGACAGTTCGGTTAGCCGCACTTAACGCACCAAACTTTTCGGGAAAAAGGCAGAAATTTAAATTGAAATGAGTGCCGCTGGTATACTAAAGGGTCATGCATTTAACAAAATTTGTGACCTTAAATTTTCCAAATTACCCAAATTTAAACATAAAATATAGAACTATGAATCAAGATTTGAAACACTTTTACTATTTACTCCAATAACTAATTCCTCAAAATATTTTATGTCTAAGTATTGAAGGGGCTTACAATTGGGATAGTTTTATGTTAACAGACCTAAGAGACTAAATATTTGTATGCGCCTGGGACACCCAAAAAATAAAGCACCCAGAACTAAGGCAGACCCATGAGATTGAGAACGAGATGTAACGCTTGTCTCTGTAAGGGTAACCACATAATTGAGTTATTACACTCGTTGACAACACTGCCCATGGTTCGTATAAATTTACTTCAACGAGCAGCTACAAAAACTGGCAGGGTAAAAAAACCAAAAATAGTAAACAAAGAAGTTGGGAGGTGGCAGGCGTATATGGCCAAAAGCAAATGCATGACAATTTATGGGATTCTTTCAGAGGTATATCAACCCAGCGCCTCCATAAGCTACAGCGAAAATAAAAAGCAGTTGTACTGAGAAAAAAAGATGTTATTTTTTTTACAAAAGATGGTTTAAGTTGTGTTAGAAAGAATGTTTAAAAATGTTTAACGCCTAGTCAGCAGTAGATTTAGTTTGATCCTTATTTAAATTTAAGCTCATGCAGATATATTTCTTATTTTTAAATAAATAAACGAACTAATGGGTTCAGCTGCAGATTTAATTTTATCATTATTTAATCATTATTTAAATAAATGCTATAACTGCTTTTTATTTTAAATTATCCATGAGCAGCTTGTATGTCACTATCAGGGTTTAAATAGTTTTATGATCGTTAAAATTGGAAGCATTGTGCGAGTGTAGGTCCAACCGAAGGCGTTCATATCCCAAAGCATATGATAAGTATCGCAAACACAAAGCCTGCTCCTCAGACAGCTAACAGACCCTTCTGATGTACGTGCCTGTGTGTGAGTGTTTGTCGCAAGTGCCACTCCCCCCGTTCCACTTTTGCGCCTCCGCCTCCCCAATCCACTCCGCACATTGTTAGTTCGGTGAAGAAGACGTCGACGATTCCACCGCTGAACTAAGACCTCAAGTCACGGCCCACTGCATATGTATGCGTATTAAGGACCCTCCAGACACAAACACAATCGCACACAGATACCGCACTAACTGCCGTTTGGCCTGTGTCAATATGTATGTAAATAAGCGGGAAAACAAGTGGTTATAAATTTCCAAGGATGATGATGCCGGGCGACTGTCGCTGCCGTTGCGTATGAGTATAACACATTGCGTATACGCACCATCGACGCCAAAAGCCGTCAACCAAAAATAACCCATACGCATAAGGAACTCGTATGTGTGTGTACCCTAATTATAATGCCCTAAGGAAGGGACCTCAGTGATACAAACTCAATAACAAAACGAAAATAGACAAAGGCAAAATCGTGTGGAAAAATAAATAAAAATAAAATAAAATAAAAGCAAAGTAAACGTAAACATGAGCAAGATGAGTTGAGAGTGCTGGAAAGTAATGAGGCGAGCATTGAAGAAAATAAGGGCCAATGTAAAGGATCTATCGACCACGGTACAGAATTAATGCTCGTTTTTTAAGTCACTCCACTGACCCAGCCTTTCCGTTTTTATGTCCTGCATCCTTGAAAGTTTTTAATATGTTTATTTATATAAACGCAGAGCAATGGAGCCTGCGTTGCGTCGTCAATGTTGTTTATTCCTGCTGCTGCTGCTGTTGTTGTTGTTTATTATTTTCTCCTATCCGAGCCATTTTTGTCCCATGAAACCCGTTTTACCACCCACCTTAAGTACTGGTTGTCCACTACAAGTTTGCAGCTTTATTACACTTCTCATAGAATCCCATAAAATTAAAAGCAATTTTGTTGTTGCAAATACTTTAACTTTCGTTCTTTCCCTCGTTGGGATGAAAGGTTCTGGTTGAATTGCACGACCAGAAGTCCCTTTCATCGAAAAAGGGGTTAAAAGGTCAGATGGGATGGTACTTTAGTAGAAGCCATAAGAAAAAGTTCGCGATATTTTATTACTGTTTAATTTTAGGGAATAAATAAGCATTACCTTTTTTTAATTAACATACATATATAAATCATAAGTGTTACATGTTCACTATTATTTTTTGTTGCTTAAACATTAAAGACATAAATTTTATGGCTTTCTTGCTTGTTATGATTATATATGAAATAATCAAACTTAAAAACTGCAAAGTACCATCATATTTAGTATTTTTTTTAAGATTGTTTCGAATACCTAATCATTTTCCTTTCCCTTAATAATTGCGATTTGTTTTCGTAGTAAACAATCGATTTTTGGTTCAAAACACTATTTAAGTAGAACAACAATCTTTGATCCTGTCACAACACATAATCCAAACAACATACATCATTAATAAAAAGCTTCCAGAGACCAACATGTGTGTCCTGGGCCCATTTTTTAACCTTAACAACAACAACAGCCACCATGTCATATTCATTGTCATTTTGAGGCAATTCGAGCTGCCATGCCATCTCAGAATTTTCCAGCAGATTATTTATTTTGGCCCAGTGACAACAAAACAGGAGCATCAATCATTTCCGGGCAATCGGATGACAATGCCCCAGGAGCAGCCGGGGGGTGTAGGCCCGACGGAGCATATTTTTAATATATAAATGAAAGTTTAGACCGTCATGTTGATGAATTGAAATATTGCCGCACGAATGCGTTACGCAGGTAATCAAGCATCAAATTGCCGGGGGCTGGGCCGGAAGAAAAGGTGCTCCACGAATAGACGAGGCACAGCCAGAACTTTTCGCTTTAAATTGCTCGAAAGTGGATGTTGGGCTTCTGTGAGTGTGGGTGGTTTATCAAATAAAGTAATCGAAGGAGGGAGAACGATTTACGCACAAGTAAATAAAGTCAGAAGGAGTTGGGCGGCCAATGAGGAATGCGATATGTAAGCCTACAAAATATTTATTTAGTCAAATCAATTTTATTGCTATTCGCTTTTTATAGCAAAAGGCGTAGCTTAAAAAAAAATCCCGCCCTAAATTATGCAGAGGTTGTTATTTCCCATTCCTTTTTGAGTACCTTTGAATTTACGAGGCAGTGCACAGGGAAAATATCCAGTCGATACTACTGGAAGGTCCAAATGTCTTTATCAAAATTGGGATGGTAGGATTGGTGTTTCAGAATTTGGTGATCACTTTAGAAAACTTGACTTGGCAATTTTCAACTCGTTACTCAAAAGAAAATAAACCATATTCTTCATCAGCACTGACAGCCGAATTCGAATATCCGAACCAAAAGAAATATCTTTTAAAAGTATATCAGCTTTATAACAGCCTAGCTTTTTTTTTTTTTTAAAATCGAATGAAAAAAGTTAACGCGTTCTCAACAATAAACTTTTCTGTAAATGTATATATAATATAATAATATAATATAAATAAATAATATTAAATTTTCACATTACTTTAAAAAAATTAGAAGGTAAATACTTAAAATAAGGACCGAGGCAACGATTTCATAGCAAATTTTTTAACTTAAAATCTAATTTTACTTTTCCGGGGTGGCGACAAAGTGGGCCTAAAAAATATCTTTAAATATTATACTTCGTCGAGGATATTATTTCAATTTGATTTCCTAAATAAGTCCTCTACAAAACGCAAGACGTATTTGATCAAAAACCTTAAATTAAACACCTGTTTAATTCAATAATTTAAAGGAAGCTTTCCTTTCAGTGTATATGCGTGTGTTTTCTCGATTCGTGTGGGTGAATGCCTAAACGTGCATAAAAACGCTCCGAGCCACAGCAGGAAAAACACCAACACCAACAAACAGATGGAACGTCAGCGGAAGCGCGTGCGTGACAGAGTGTAAATGCCTGTCCGTGTGTTTGTCTGTTGATTTGCGTGTGCAACTGTGTGTGTGTGCCGACGGAACTTTTAAACTAATTTGAAATTTTAATTTAATTAATTTGTGTGCGTATTTTTTAATGACAATGTCAGGCAGTCGGCAAAGAGGACGAGCCTGTTGAAGGCTTTAAATAAATAATGATGTCAGGTGTCGGGATTGCAAATTATATTGAAGAGGGGTTGTCACCTAACAAATTGATCTGAAAGACGAAAATAGGAAATGAAAGTACATCACAGAGACAAACTTTTGAGAATGGTTGTGTCACCTTTTAAAGAAATGGAAAGATATTTTTACTCAGAGAAGAAAACAGCAGGCATTTTCATCTTTGGTTTAATTTTTTTTGCAATTTACGCCTGCAAGTAGGCTTTAAATTTTAAGATTATAATATATGCGTTTTATTGAAATACTCATAGAAATATAATTGATTTTAAGGAAAATTTTTGAAACATCTTTCCACTGAAAACTTTTAATGAGAAATCAAATTGTTTCTGTCTCTCCCTTTTCCACAGGCAACAGCTGCAGTTCGCCAGTAATCGAAACACAATTATGGCAAATTCGAACAAAACTTCATCAAAGTTTGTTAACAACAATAACAGAGGAAATAACTACAAATGCATCTGCAGCGACGGCATCAGTAGGGGTCACAAAATGTAATAGACGAAGGGCGTGGAACTGAAAAGGGCCCACTCAGCTTTGCGGTGGGCAACGGTCATTGGCGACAGCATCAGGCAACAAGCGACAAGCAACACTGAACCGCTACAACCGACAACAAGCGCAATCACAACAGCAGCAACATCAAGAAACCAAAAGAAACCAAACAAAAAAATACGCAACATAAATGAAGTTAACAATCTGTCAAATTGCTAAATTATTTCTGCTGTTGACAGCCTTCTTCTTTCTCAATTCCCCCAGCGCAGCCTCTTTAGCCCCCTCCTCCACCTCCTCCACCTCCTCCACCTCCCCCAGCTTCCGCCCAGCGGCGGGTGTCCTTGTCCTGCAGGCGGCCAAGACAGCGACAGTCTTTGCTACAACGCCAGCTTCAAAAGCAGTTGCGGCTACGCGGACTTTCCCCACGACAGCAGCAGCAGCAGCAGCAACAGCAACAGCACTCGGCAGCAATTCAATTTGGCCAACAGCAACACAAACAAAGGGTCCACGTAATGCGCGTGAAGCTGAACGTCAGAAACGTCAAAAGCAACAGCCCGCAACCCAACGGCAACAGCAGCAGCAGCAACAGCAGCAACAACAGCAACAGCAGCAACACAAGCGCCTGCAGCAGCAACAGCAACAGCAACAGATACAGCAACAGCAACATCAGAATCAGAATCAAAATCAACGACTGGCCGTTTTAATACCTTCTTCGCTGCACGTTGATATGACGCATGTGCAACAGGGCTTTCAGCATTTCCTCGATTTTTTCCAACTGCATTTATCTAATGCCAGCGTCGATTTCCTACGTGATGTGGGTGAGTACACACACAAGCCGAAAAACAAACCCATCAGGAACAGGCCAAGCATCCTTGTTTGCCTTGTTTGTTGCCACAGCCTGTGGAAATCCCTGCCAACATGCATTCAGACATCGTGTTATATCGATGATTTGTGTGTGCCTGATGCTCAAGTTTCCCTTTTTTTTTTTTTTTTTCTGTTCGCCAAATTCCACATGTGTCGGAGGCTGAAGGTGGCCGTTTATGAAGATGAATTGGCCTGACCGGCTGTTTGCCGAGAGTAAATATTTGCTGGCAGCCAACAGTGTGGAAGTTATGGGAAACTTTGCTAATTGAGTGAGGAAATACAAATCAAGCGAACAAATTAAAGTTGAAGCCATCTAGACTGGAGAATCTTGTTGGGAGATTACTTAACTTTTCGAAGTCTTTCACGGCGTTGTCTACAAACCCAATTTGCATGCATTATGCCTTGATTTATTCTGCTTCGTCTTGCCTCTTGCCTCTTGCCATAAATAACCACCCTCGTAGAACCCAAGCAAATTTAAACTAATTTAAGCACGTCCTGCCTTTGACTTTTTCTTGAGTTCGAGGGGCGACGGAAAATGAAATCCAGCTTTTACGCGCTTTCCAGCTAAAATTGTAGCTTTAAAAACTTGAATTTGTTTCCATAACTTAAGCTACATTTCCTAGCTGTTTCCATCATTAATACTTTTGTGCAATTCTACTAAAAACTTACAATTTGCGGACTCGAAGTAACAATTTAAAGCCAGTACGTTTGAGTTTTGCGATAGTTTCTAAACTGAAAGAACCAGCTGGAGCGTTAAAGGGATTAGCAGCTGTCACTGGTGGGATATCAATTTGCAGAATAATTGGACAACATGGCGAATGCCAATTGCAACGCACGGCATTCGGACTTACACAACAGCAACATGTGTAAGCATCCAATCAATCCACACCGATCCCTGTGAGCTTTCTTATGTAATGTGTTATTCAGCCCGGGCAAGGTCTCCTGCACATTTTGTCCTGAGGTGAAAGGCAGTGTTCAGCCGCTTTTGTGCCGTTTGCCAACGATGGTCAGCAAATAAAAACGTAGACTTGCCCCGGAAATAAATTACCAACGGGGCACGGAAGGGAAGCCGAATGGCAAACGGCAATATGCAACTAGAAACCATTTCAATATTTTGCAAAACATAAAAATCTGCTGCACAGCAAGACAGCCAAGTTAAATTACGGCAAATGGAATTTATTTGTACGGAACGAAACTGTTACGTTAGTTGGGTTCGCAAATTGAATTTCGTTGTCAGGCACTTAAATCAATTTAGATGGCTATGGGAGCGAGCAAGTTTTACCTGTTATTTATGACACCTGCGAGGCAGCACCTAAATTAAAGATATCAAACTTAAACTATTCGCATTGTGAACAACAGCAAAATTGTGGCAATCGGCAAAAACTTTGGCGCCAAATAAGTGAGCTCCGAAGTTGGCCATGTGTAGCTGCCCGTGTTTACTCGGAAAATAGCTGCAAAAGAACTGAGCGCAGAGACAGCAAGTTGAAATAATAAAGCAAATGGCCAACCGAAGAATGTAGGACGACTGGAAAACTTTTTGCAAATAGAAGTGCCACAGAGAGTCGGAATTAACTTTTAGCTTATCGCGATCCATGGCCAAAATCATTTAAATAGCTCATCACTTGGGCAAACCTAATTCGGCATAAATATTCACGAACATAAGTTGAAAGTTTTCGGAGGCAAAGTTTTAATTTATAAAGACTATTACTCACCAAGAAAAGTTCCTAAGCTGTCGGATTAGAAGGACCTCAGCTCAGGAGCAGCACTTGACGGGCTTCTGATCTCCCAGATATTTTCTGTTCTCTACCGGACTGTTGCTCCCCTGTCAGGAACCTTCGGTGCAAAGGCAACTGAATCACGGGCACTCATAACTCTGTCCACTTGTCGGATACTTGGCCAGTTGCTTGCGATGGCAGCCGTTAGCTGGTCATGCCCAGAACCCAGAGATGGGCACTTGGAGCCCACAAGATGGCCGACCTCCCGAGAAGCGGTGCTAGCTTAGCTATTTTCAATCCGTATTCAAATAAGAATTCTATATACACTTATGGGTTGTGAAAGATGCAATTCAATTTTGTTTGGTTAAGTTTGTAACTCTTTCAAAATTCAGCAGAATTAAACATTACCTAAATATGGTATTGAATAGTGTAGCTAGATGAGCTAAGTAACTATCACTGGAAACAGAATATTTGTCTTAGTCCTCCAAACTGGATTAATATTTTAACAAAGGTTAATAAACTCAAGAAAGCCTATCTACTTGGTTAAAAACAATAGTTCCATGCATCCTGGAAGCAGACATTCGCCTGGGATAAAGCATAATATGTTTAAAAAATTTAATTTTTAAAGATTCTTACAGAAGCAAAAAAATAAATTACAGATAAAAATAACATTATTTTTTTTTTAATTTGTTTTATATTCTTTATAATAAGAATCTTTAAAAATTAAATTTGTTAAACATATTACGCTTTGACTTTTAGTTATGACTAGCACAATAATATAATATAAAAGGAGTTTACCTACTATAGTGATAAGATGTTAAACTAAGCAAATTAAGGTACTGAAACCTATTGAAAGGACTCAAAAAGGTAAAGTCCGTAGAAAATGGTCTCTAATATATTTGATATTTAGATTTCTATAAAGCAATTACTTAACGTAAAAAGGAGTGATTTTGGCTAAACATTGAACTCCACTCAACTCTTTTTTTACTCATATGAATTTATATAAATCTCAGGAGACCATATAACATTTCTGCACTTTAAAAAAGTTAGTTATCGGTTTCATTTAGAAGTAAACTAGCGTGCTTAGCTTTAAAATAAACTTAGCTTGCTTTTGGCTTTTCGTTGGCATCACTGGTCAGAAGGCAAGGGGCAACAACTGCTGTCGTTGCAGACGGAATTTCGCTATGGGTATGGGTGCCTTCATCAGCAGTAACAGTTACTACACCGCTTTAGCACATTCCCACATACATACACTGGCAGAAAATCCTCCACCGCTTCAGCTTAAATATGCAGAAGTTTTTTATATGCCACATAAAATGTTTCTCTTTCTTTTCGCCCTTCCCAATGATGTCGACGACGGCGCACAGATTTAAGTGGCTTCATTAAATTACTCGAGCTGCCCAAATACACGAGCGTTGTAAAGACTTTAAATGCGGGCATTAATGTCGACACCGATGTGGACGTGGACGTGGACGTGGACGTGGACGTGGTCATGAACGTGGATGTGAACAAGGACCAAAGCGGCACCAGGAATCGGAATGGGAATGCGAATATGGACGTTGACCCGCCCAGCCAGCCACGTCAGCAACATCAGCAACATCAGCAGCATTTGCAACATCAAGAGCAGGAGATGGACAAGGAGAAGGAGCAACATCGTCATCATCAGCAGGACTCCAAGGCGAAACAGTTGTCAGCGGGCGAGGAGGCCTCCATATCCCCTGGCGGGAATGGGGCACTTCGGTGGAACGTTGCCCGCAGCTTCTCGGGTCACTGTCATCAGCTGGCCGAGCAACTGGCCCTCGATTTCAATAAGACCGTCGTCCTGTGGCCCTGTCCGCGAATGAAAGTGAGTACGTCCTTACTTTAAGACCGCTGGCACACAAAGTAAAGCCTTCGATAGAAGTATTAAAGTGAGGGCAATCATCGAAAGTCTTGGTTTAAGTGCAGGTACTTTCAGTAAGAGAATCAATTGAAAACATAAATTTAACTCAAAACGGGAGGCTGAACTCTTGAAAAACTTATTTACCAATCTATTTGATGCCAATATTAGATAAGGAATGGACTGAATTCTGTCCCCAAAAAATTTTAAGTTTATAAATATAGATAGCTTTGTGATAACTTTTAAGTGAACCACAAGTCATTAAGAAAAAGTTAATTTTTTTTAGAAAACTTTGTCCTGGTTTGACTTTATTTTACTGCTGATAAAAAATCTAATAAAAAAATGTTTTTTTTTTAATTATAGCTGAGGAGAGTAAGCTAGTCATATTGCTATTCAGTTAGTGCATTGTTGATAAAAGGTAATAGGAACGTCGTGTTATTGAAATAACAACAAATTAGTTCTTATTTCAAAAAAGAATGAATATAAATAGATAGATTAGAAAAAAAATTAAAAACAAAGCAAACTACTAAAAAAGTGTTTAAGATTTTACATTTTTACTCCTGCTGTTAATTGTTTTTTACGGTTATGGGCCCATAAAGTTAAGAACTTTTTGGATTTTCTCACTTGGAAGATTTCAAGTACTTTTGCTAAAACTTTTAGCATTTGTGTCTCTGAAATGGTCTACTCTGCTCGAAATAGCTGCCAATAAATGTTCTATCTGACTTAACTGACATGTAAAAGCTACCAGCGTATATAGTGTGTTAATTAAGCAGAAATGTGAGCATAGTTATTTGGAACATGACTTAAGCCAGCCGCAAGCATTTTGCAGCAGCAAATTGCAGTTTTCCAAAACAATCTTCAAACGGAGAAAGGAGAAAGGAGACAGTTCGCACCACAAAAGTTCATCAAGTCAAGTCCGTGGCTGTGGGTTGCAAGCAAACAGGAAATGGAAAAACCGAGCCAAAGGCTGAAGGAAGAAGAGTTTTTGGTGGTGGTTGGAGGCAGGGATGCGGGAACTATCCAAAATATGCTGGAAAATTGCCTGATGAAAGCCGACGCTGCCCTGAAATTACTTTTTGCGGCAAGTGTTGCCCCTGTCTCACCTTCCTGCTCGAGGCTTAGTTGCATGCCAACAAGTGCCCAGAAGAATATCAGGCTTAATCCGCCGGCCACGCCCACATGCTTCTACTTGGCCAACTGTCACACAAAGTTGTGCAACATAAAGTTCGGCTCGTTACTTTTGCATATTTTTATGAGCCCGCCTGGGTGGTGGGGAATTTTTCGTTGACAATTGATTGACAAGTGCTGAGCGAACTGCTTCCAAAAGTTTGTTAACTTGTTGAAAATGTCAGCAAAGTTATTAATGAAAATCTGTGTGGCCCGAAATCCCCTGACAAACTGTAACAAAATGACTGACAAATGGAACGGTTTTGGGTTCTGCACAGAAAACAGACAACGGCAAAATAATAGAGGCCAAGATAAACAGCATCTGGCTTGCAGAATGCAAATAATTTAGTTAGAAATTAGGCATTAAACACGATGTGTGTGGTAATGACGTGCTTCAGTATTTCATGTTGTTGAAGAGCTTTTATTTCATATCCGTTTGCTTAAAGCCTTGGCTCTCCTGCTTCTGGCATGCATTTAAATCACTCAACGAGTTTTGCTGCCGGCTCAAGGCACGTGCCACGCCCCGCTTTCCCAACGTTCCTCGGCCTCTTTCGTCCTTGATCCTTGTAACGACACATCTCACCCGTACAAGCCAGTACAATCGTAAAGAAAAATGTTTCAGCCTTGGCAGCTGTTTTTCTCTGTGTATGTATGCTTCTATAAGCTTAGCTGCACTGAGCTGAGCCTTTCTGAGTTTGTTTTATTATCGGAAAGGAGACGTATATTTGGATGCTCACTGCATACCAATTGCGGTTTGGTTGCTAAAAGAGCAAGCAACGCAAAAAATATAAGACCCACTAAAGTACAGTCGCAGCTCGTGAAAAAAGTCGTTACAACCACAAAAGCGCCACCTAGCGGGGCAGGAGTGCACATTTAGCGAAAGCTGAACACACTAATAACGCTTCTCCTCCGTCAGACTTTTCCATTTTATTATTCCCTTTGGTCGCCGGCGAAGGAATGCAAGCCAATTTTATGCTGATCAGTACAAAATATGTAGTCACCACGTAAATTATTTACTTTATTTTTCATTTCGTAGAAGTTTCTTCTCAGCAAAGATTTGCTAAAATATCAACTAATCCCTACACCCAGAAAAAAACAGAAAGAAAAGAATCATGAACATTTTTCATGATTTCGCTTATTTTTGCTCTCAATTTTTACCAGAAACCGCACATAATAGTTTAAAAATAATTTTAAGCACAAACAACTTTCAAGAAAAGGGAGAAAAATGATTATTTAAAAATGTAACCATAATTTTTTTTCAATGTTTAATATAATATTAAAAAAAATTATTAGTTTCCCATTTTTTTTATTAAAATAAAAATACAACTTGAATTTAAATATCCTAAAATGCATATATGATGTACATTTGAACACCTCTCAGATGATGTATAATATGTATGCGAAATAATGTGCACATTTTGAGTGTGCTCAATTTCAATTTGCATGATAATAATTTTGATTTTTATTACGGGACATCATTTTTATACCCTTGCAGAGGGTATAATAATTTCAGTAGAGGTTTATAACGCATTGTAGGAGACATTTCCGACCCTATTAAGTATCAAACAAAAACACCTCTTAACGAGGTAAAGTTGTGACGATCGCACATACAAAATATAAGACGCCAATTTTGTGACGAAAAATTAATAAGCATTCAATTAAAGAAATAAGTGATAAAATATGACTCACCGCATTTACTATGTTAGAATTACGATTTTAATTTTATTAAAATCAAACAAAAACACCATTTAGCTGTCAAATAGACTTAGCTTCGTTGTTTTTAAGCATATACGCATAAAAATCTAAATGGTTTCGTTTAATAAATTGTTTTCGCTTAAAAGGTGCAAAAACATTTTTTGCCTACTTTCTCGTTGAAAGGTAAAAAAAAGGTACTTTTTTAAATTTAATTACGATTTTTAAACCAGACCCATTAGTGCTTACAGCCGCATTGGCACATTAAACTTGAAGTAGAAAAATCAAAGGTTTCATGTGTTGGCGTATGCACAATACTGCGCAATACAATTCTAGTCAATGTGCCGGCTTTAAAGGTATCTCTGTCGGGATCGTATTCCCGAGTCGCTGCTTGCGAATTTTCACAGCTGCCCGGGGGACCAGGGAGCGGTCGATGGAAAAGGGACTCGGAGGGGAACAAAACGCATCAATTGCAACTTTTGTGCGGCATTTGTGTCGCTGATTTAGGGGCGGTTCCAACGGCAACAACGTGGCTAGGCGTATTTTGTTGCCCTCGCAGCGCATAAATATTGCACAGCGCATCACACTTAATTGCACGTTTTGTAACTTTGTCGCTATTTCACTTGCCTCTTGTTAGTTTCTGTTGTCGGTTAACGGTACGCGGTGCGACGTGGCTTATCCTTTTTTCCTTAACTTACGACCAATATACCTGCCCATTATTTAAACTCTGGTGTAATTAACTTTATTTTGTATTGTAAGAAATTGTATTTTCATAAAATATTTTAAAGCAAGAAGGGAAGTAAACTTCGGCAGGCAAAGGTTTATATACCCTTGCAGCTATTAAAAAAAATTACCTATTCTTTAGAAAATGTAAATTTCTATTTATTCGCATACATGTTTAAAAACATTTTCAGCTTAATTATTCGGTCGTTCCTATAGCAGCTATATGAAATCTTTTTCGGATTTTAATAAAACGAAAGGCGTAATTCGGAATTATTAAACAATCAAAAATGCATAAATAGAAAAATTTAGCATTTTTTTTTTAATATTTTGATTGTTTTTAATGGGAGCTATATATATATAGTCGGTCGATATTAATTACAAAGATGATGCAAATCAAATATGTATTTTTAAATCCCGTGCAGGGTAAAACGTGCAGGGTAAATACAATTTTGCTTGCCAAGGTTAACTTCCTTTCTCCAAATGTGGTTCTAAAACGATTGTAATCGGATCCATTAAGTCACTTCTTGAAAGCCCTACAACCGTCCGGTAAAACTATAATATTTTCCGTAAAAAATTCTACATTTATTTGAATAATAGTAACAACCTTATCTGCCGATTTTTATTTTGGTTTGCTTTTCGAAAGCTGTGTTATTCCAAACAACTTTTCTAGTCTCTCAGATAGAGATAAATGGAGATTAATGTTGCATTGCAATTGTATGCGGTTCCGGACGGTTGATGGGTGAATCTCAAATTCCTGGGAGACAACTGTAATCGTTAAAAGAAACGCTTCTTGCCAATCTGGGATGACTTTGCCATTTTTCTCAGTCAGCCGATTCAGTCTATCAATTCAGAGATGGAACAGTCAGTCACGCTTTCATGCAGTGAGTCACTCATTCAGTCCGTCAGCTGGCACTGCAGTTTATCATGGCAAAAGTGTGGGTTCAAACACTTGAAATGCCACCCATCCCCAAGCTAAACCGCCTTTTGTCCCACCGAGCATTTGCCTTTCAGTCAATCAGTTTGACAATTGACAATTGCAAGGCAAGCTGAGAGCTGCATCAATGATAACGATGACATCCATTCTGGCTGGGCACTGATACGGCCAACTGGGAATAGTTTAGAGTGGGGGATTGTTATCAATGCTAACAATGAGTGGATAACCATGATTGCGCAAAAAAATGAAAAAGAGAAAAAATCACTATTGTATGTAGATATTATGAATAACAAAATTCAGGGAATATCCATAGCAGGCAATTTACTAGTTTTGTTTGACAAACCGACATCAATATTATGCCTAAGAAAGCTAGCTTTATCAAAGCTAAGAAACACGTGCATATAAATAGCTATTAAAGGATTTAGTCAAATTATAATGTATATAAGTTATA